CAGATGATTGACATGATGACACCATGTGCTCTCTGAAACAAAGATTTGTCCACGGCTATTTATATATATTTGTAACTAGCTAGGATGGTGATGGGAATTACCGTTGAGATACCTATCTGTATGTATAAAAATACCATATCTATCAGACGTCGAAACGGCGACGTACGGCATTTTGATTTGGAGTAATGCCGCCGATATCAACAACAAAAATTTCTGCAGGACAATCTTTGTCCAGCAGAAACGTGCGGTTAGGGCAATTTACAATCTGGGCCCCAGAGTATCTTTGAGAGATAAGTTTAAGGAAATCAATATTCTTACACTAGCGTCACAGTACATTTATGAAAATGTAATTTATGTTAGTAGGAATAGTAGTTTCTTTAAGAAAAAATAGTGACATATATAGCATTTATACGAGGAATAAAAATAAACTAGCTGTTCTTGATAGTCGTCTTCACAAAGTCACAAATTCATTCAAGCGGCAATGTATACGCTACTATAACACGATTGTTTGATTGTTGATATACAAAATTTGCCATTCAGGAGGTTTAAAACTATAGTGAAACAAAATCTCTATACCAAAACTTAATATATAATTTCTGCGTACTTGGATGACAAAAAACCGTGGTAGTGACCCGTTTAGCTCATGAAGCTAGTCCCTATCTCTAAAAAAAAGAATATTGTAAATGTTGAATGTGTACAAATGTTATTTACAAATTGTAATCCCTAGAGTTTCTTGCTCATTCTTCTCAGGGGAATCTGCCGTACGAATGAGCGGTAGAGTTTAACCAATGTGACGATTTTAAATGTAATAAATAATGCTTACCTATGAAATAAAGACTATTTTGATTTTTGACCAACCATCGAATCAATCCCCTCTCTAGCCTGTTCACTACATCATCTTTCATACCACAACGCTCTCATACTACTCAGTCCTCCATTCTGTCTTTAAAACTAATACCAAATTATAAATATTATGTGGAATTATATAACTCTTCCATTTTGATTATTAATACAAAAGATCGAATATATAGAAAACCTTTTTCAACCCGACGATGGGACTTTTGTACTTAAGATCTTTCCATTGAGTATCGGCATAGGCATTCTGCGCCCCTAGTAACATCCAGTGAGTGATTTTAGAACCTTCTTCACAGCAGTCGTAGAAATCTTTAACAAAAACACATAGAACAATTTCGACAACTCGATAACTTGACCCGTAGCTCAGTTGGTAAAAGCAATACTACGGTGCAGTAAGGTCGTGATTACAAATTCCATCCCATCCCATTATTAATAATAATAAAAACTGGCGGAGTTGTTTCACTAAAAATATGTCAATAATGCACTTTTCTATTTATTTAAACATAAAAAAATACCAACTAATTTCGAATCTATAAAGCGCTCTCCTGAACAGTCGTCCAAGTGCACGATATTTCAAACATTTCAATTAGACACCAAGTTCTAATAATCATCGCTTTTCGATAAACGCTGTCGATCATTATCTCAACTGGGGGTCTACTCACGATCTCCGTCCGAAACAATTACTGCCAAATAAGCAATACTTGACCAAATGAAAAGACGCGTGATGCGAATGAAGCTTCATACTTGACACTTGTCTTTTAATTTTGTCCAATATTACTTATTTGACAGTAATTGTTTCGGACGGAGATCGTGAGTAGACCCCCCGCAACGAGTAAAATCGAATTTTTCCCAAAGCCGTGAAATCACCTTAGACGATTTCCCGGAATGGTATCATATTCGTTTCCGATGCGGGTTTTACGTCGTCATCGCGTTATCATTCCACACCAGGCTCCAAATGCCTCAGATAGGAAATCCGATATATTCTCAGTCTCACATTGCAACTGGTATATGCATAATTTATCGAGTTGTTAGGTATTCGCGATTGTTAGAAGAAAAGAATTTAAAAGAATTTTGAAAATATCGTGGACGGAGAGAGTATCCAATGAAAGAGTATTGTAGATGGTGAATAAGAAATTAGAGGTTTTGAATATCGTCAAAAAACGCAAGCTACAGTACTTTGACAAATGCGACCTGCTCCGATTCATTACGCTAGGAAAAATCCAGGGAAAACGACCTCCTGGAAGAAGGCGTACTTCGTGGCCTAAGAATCTCCGGACATGGTTTAACCTGAGCACAAGATCCTTGTTCCGTGCTGTTGTGTCTAAAATACAGACAGCTCTAATGATCGCCGACCTCCTATAGGAGATGGCACCTTAAGATGAAGAAGAAGAATAGATACAACTTTTTCGATTCTATTTGTTTTTTCAAACAATACTTCGCACTATTTAACAGGTTCTGTGATCAACGCTGACTCCACGAACTACAAATATTCATTTTCATTTTCTAAATCCAAATTGTATTAACGTAACTCAACAATAAAACTTGATAGTAACAAAATAATATCTTTTTTCAAATATATATATATATATATATATATATGTATATATAAAACTGCTTCAGTGGCCGAACGGTTACCATGCCGGACTGCCACGCAGAGGTCCCAGGTTCGATTCCCGGGCCGGGAGAAATATTTGTATGACCTACATTTATTTCTCTCGTGAGTTTGGGTGTAATTTGTGGTTGTCTATGTGTGTGTGTCCATGGCACCCGCGACACAGGGTTTCCCTAGTGCGGGGCTATGTTGAGTGTGTGCGTTATTATTATTATTATTATTATTATTATTATTATTATTATTATTATTATACCAAGACTTGTTAAGAGCCCGTAACGTGGGTTTGTTTGAAAAAACAAAAATATGCTATTTAGAGCCAAATAAAATAGTTTCATTTTCAACCTCCTTTGTATATCGATTCTGAAAAATTACCTATTCCCCATTGACTTACAAATACTATTCCCTAAAGCATTTGTGGAGAGGTCAAATTTCGTCAAATAGCTAATCATTTGAATTTTTATACAGGTTTTCCCACTGCGGCTCTGCGACACGGATGGAAAGTGGATAGGTATTTTATTTCTTAAAGTAAGTATATACTACTTACTACTCTAAGATACAATGTTACTTAAAAATAATTAATCCTTATTTACCCTTTCGATCAGCATCTAAAAAATGCAGGCTGATTTTTTTTACAACTACTTTAATATCTTTGTAGACAAGTATTACTTACTTTTAAAAATAAAATAGTGTCTACATGAAGCAAAATATCCTATTTACAATATTTAAAGTACTTTCCCTTTGTGTCGCATAGCTGTGGGACAACCTGTATGTATATATACATATATATTGCAATTTTCTACATGTTGTAAACTATTCAGCCTACTAATAAACATAAAGCCGTAACATCAGGTGCTAGCCAAACTCCAATTCATATTCCACCGTGGCATTCAAATAACAAAGGTACCAATGATATCCCCTCTGAAGCTGTTTTTCCGCGGGATTTGGCTTCTTATCGGGATAAAATGTAAGCTAGCATTATGATAATACCAACCTCGTACCGTTTTGCGCAAAAACTTATGGCATTGTTGAGAAAAAGGGATGTCAAAGTGGCAAGTTGAAAAGTTTCCTTAAAAGCTATTGGTAGCTAGTTGTCGAGTGTAGTATGCCTTGAACTAGAAAGGTGAAATTGATTGTTATTGCGGTGGAATACTGAATAAAATATTAAGTAGTAAACTATATAACACTGAAATTTCGTTCAAATGCATCAATCAATTAACGGTTTTTTTTGAAATTCAGTTTCTATTTCAAAGTAATAAATTGAAAGTGGTTTATTCGGAAGTTCTTCGATATTTGTGAATGGTAATTTAAAACTTTGTGAAAGAGTGAATGTGAGCAACAGTGAACATTACTGCGTTCCGGTTTTGAATGGTAATGGTGCTGGTGGAATTACAGGAACAAGTTTAATTATGTCTCAGGGTAATGAACGCTGTGGCAGTGCTCCTCAGATCTTCGCGATTAAAGCTCTGAGTGGCACTACAACTGCTATCGACAGGCTTGTCGCTTATCACCAGGTGCACGACTTATTCGTCCCGTGACTTGATATCATAAAAACAATGTTTATGTATATTTTATAATAATGTTAATAATAAATAACATGTGTCAGATAACCACAGCAAACATCTGTGAGTGTGTGGGTTATTATTACTATTATTATTATTATTATTATCTGGTCTCAAACTAGGTAATTCCTTATACTACGAGTATCAGAGCAGCGAAATTTATTTCGGAATATCCCAACCAAATCCAATACCAAATCGTTGGGTCACCGAGATAGTCAAACATGCAAAAAGCCATGCAATATGTCGCACAAATTGATTTGAACGGCTGTTACACTATTTTTTCCACATTGAGCTATAATGTCGGTTATTCAATGCTTGTCGTAGGCCACAACGACGCTTCACATCGGTTGGTATTGTGGTCAAGCGTACGCTGTATAAGATTAAGAAAACTAAAAGAACTTTTAGTTCATACCTATAGTTGTAAAAAACTACGAGGGAAGATGTAGTTGGAGGATCCAAAAGAACCAGGAGCTGGAGAAGAACATGCCTGAGCCCAATATTATCAGAGAAATCAAGTCCGCAAGGCTCCGCGCTCGCACATTTTGAAAGGAAGCTTATAGGGCAGTGAAAAGGGACTACATGTGACGTCCTAGAGGTCGACAACCGGTTAGTAAGCCATAATATCGATGGAGGGACGAAGTGGAGAAAAACCCCCGCGCCCTGCACGCAAAGAACTGGGATGAGATCGCACAAGACAGGGCGCGCTGGCGCCAACTCGTATCGGAGCCCTAAGCCCACCTCGGGTCCCAGAACCAGCGGAGTAAGTTGCCTTACTTACTAGTTACAATAAGAAACTATAAATCATAATATGGAAACATATTGAAAGTAAAACGTGACCAAATCTTTCATGACAGTGTGACTTTGATGATGCTCGCGTTCAGTACCATTGACAATACACTAAAAAAACATAATAAAAAACAAACTTAAAAACTCTTAGGGAAAATACAAAAGTAAAGGTGTAAATTCCAGTGCCATTGTCAATGCAACTATTTTTTTTCTCTACCTTAGTGTTAACGAAGTCAAAACCTTCATCATCATTATGAACGTTAAATGTGACAATTTCCTGTCACTTAGCCACGCTGAATTCACCTTCTGTGATTTTACCGTATAAAAAGGTAGTGTGAATTGGTGGCTTGCATTGTTTGGTGTTGAACGTCCTACAGAATGCATCGTTTTGTTGTGTTAGTAGCATTTGGAGTTGCCTCGGTGTTGGTAAGTGGGTGTATCGTTTTATCAATATGAAAACAGACTATAACTCAGACATAAATAATATTTATTTCGTAGGTAAACAAATTACTCCTTGAAAACGTCATATTGATTGAATTTTCTTACTCATTCATATGGCAGATTCCCTGAGATGAATAAATAGAAAAATTTTAGGCGTTGCTCTTTGTTTACATTTATCATTTACAATATTTCTTTAACAAATGATGATAGATCAAGACAACTTGCGAGAGCTAAACAGTTCACCACTATGGATTTTCGTTATCCAAGTATGCAGAAGCAGCATGATAATCTCTGACGTAAAGTTTTTGTTTCGCTATACTTTTAAACCTCATAAATAGCAAGTTTGTAATATAAACCGGAATTTTAATACAAAAGCATATATATTCCGTAGAAAAATCAAATTACGAAATTGAAGACTACGTGTTAGATAAAGATGTATGGAGAGACGACACGCCTCCAGAATCCACACAAATTTGATTCAAAGTATATTCCATAGCATTTAAGTTTATTTGAAGAGAGCAATCCCTAGAGTTTCTTGCTCGTTCTTCTCAGGGAGGTCAGCGTAGTGAACGAGCAGTAGCTTAAATGTGACGTTTTCAAGTGTAAATTTATTTTATCTATGGAATAAATAATCTTTGACTTTGACTTTGACTATCAATAACAGCTAGTTTATTTCTATTCCTCTTATTCATATTATGTTTATTGGACGGCCTCAGACGTTACATCGTGCCAGGGCCGAACCGTGCTCCGGTCATGCGTGACACAGTAAAGTATCTATATTATGCTTTTATATGAACTAATTCATTTTAGACCGACTGATCGCTTTCCAGTAGAGGCATGGACTCGGCCCGGTCTAACATAAATTAGTCGATACAAAAGTAAAAATAATATAGATATTACCTATTTTGACCGTGTCACGGCCGGTGCACGACCGGAGCATGGCCCGACCCCGGCACAGTGTAAGGTGAATTAGCCTTTATAATGTGGACGCTAGACGAGGAGGTTCCGGGTTCGATTCCCGGTAAGACCAAATTGGGAAACGAAGTTTTCTAAATTGATTCTGGTGTGGGTGTTATGGGAAGTACCCTGGAGTAAACTCTGGTACTCATAATAAAGGGAATAGTTGAAGTTTTAACCATACGAAGTTCCGAATATCTTGAAAATTTTGTCATTAACTAAAGGCCAGATGACGGTGGCATCCTGTTCTTTACTAGAACTTCTTTGTTACTGAACGTGTTTTAATACTAGTTTTCACACGAGCATCACGTTCACAGGGTCCTGTTCATGCAAAGAACAAGTTGCCATCGTGTGAACGGGCCGTAATCTGTTAAACCATTTGCATGACTGTGGCAGCAAAAATATTTTCATAGTGTGATAGAACTGGTTTTATATATTCAAAAAGTGCTTTGAATAATGTGAAAATTGTTTACCAATCACTTCCACTTAGCTGAAATTTCAAAAGAGATATTACATCATACATTGACGTGGTCTTGATAAACAAAAGCATTTTCATAGATGATAAAACTGATTTTATAGATTCGAAAAACGAGTCAAATCGTTTTAATGTTTATATAATTTGGCATGAATCTAATTGATTTACACCGAATAATCTTGAAAACAGGAAATAATTAAAACCCTCGTTGTGTCTTACTTTTGTTGCAGACCATCAAAGAAGAGTGTTTTAAGCTTGCAAATCCGGTAAGTCAATGAATCACTTTTATAAGTTACAAATATATCAATAATAAGTTATAAATACGCATTTTGTTACTGACGTGAGTCACCTTAAAGGAGAAACCAGTGATAGACCACTTTATAAATCACAATGGCTTAAAACAGTTCGAGATCTACGTACATCTTGCGACAGTTTTGGCTATAGTCAATTCAAGAAGTTTACTGTGCTACCAATTAATAATTACCTTAATCAGAATATTTGGTTAATAGTAAGAATAACTTTGCCTTGTAAGAATATTAACAGCCGAGTTGTAAAAGAATTCGTTGCGTTCGCTGCGTTATGGTTTTGATGGACTAGTGGCGTGGTGGCAAAACTACGTACGCATGGAACTCATCAATTTCATGTCTCAGAGTGCAGTGGCAATGCTCTTTAGATCTTTGCGATTTGCGGAGGCTAGGCATTTGAGCGTAACGCCGGATTTTAATATAAATAAAATAAGACTAGGCGGAGGAAAGTGACACAGATCCGACGTCGACAAGCGCCCGATGGCGACTGACAGCTGGAAAATATTATTTTTTTGGGATAATATGAATTTATAAACTGTAGGCATTGACCTACCAACAAATGGACTTCGGGTCTAATACAAAAACTACAAAAAAATGTCCGAGGTTAACCTATACAAACGTAGTGACATGTAACGAAATATAAAAACTAAAACATTTAATTTAAATTGTAACGTTATTGCAGTACTGCCTAAATTTGCTTATAACTGCCTAAATAAAGGGCCCAAAAACACCATATTCAGCTTCTACTGGAAACTTAACAAAATGCACCATATTTAGCTTCGACTGAAAATTACTTGAACACAAGAGTAATGGAATAGCCTTTCTCGTAAATATTAATTAATTTTTTTACAAATTATATTATTATGTCGAACTTTGTACAAATTCACTTAAAGGTATAATAAAGAATTGGGCAGATACATACATACAATTATTACTACAAATGTGAAAAAAAGCATGTACTATAAGAAATGTACCGATATTCTAACTAAACGTAAAGTCTAATATCCGTGATTCCTATTTATAACAAAACCGTTACGCTTTCGAGTAATTTTGATGTTTTTTACATAGACAAAATTAGCTTTTGTTTACAAAACAAAAGCTAATTTTGTCTTCGTAAAAACACATAAAAATTCGAGCTAATGTTATTTCGGGCAAATGTATTTTCTGACTTCTGATAGGTAATCCCAAGGCGTAAAACGACTACAACAATATTTTGTTAATATTGCTAACGTTTGATAAAAAAATCATTTTAAAAATAGGATTAAAATCAAAGCAACTCTACAGTTTCTTTGTTCTAAATATATCAATCGCTTGTGGTTCGAACAATTGAAAATGACCAAGAAGTTTATATAAGCTTCTTGAAACTGACGTAATGGGTCCCTTTCCATCTTTTGCGCATGCAATGAGTAGAAAAAGAAAAAGGACAGTTAGCTATTTCATTATTTCGTGTGCTTTTGTAATTTATATTTACGATTCAGTTATATATAAATTAAATACTATAAAACTGTTCAAAATAACACTTTTAAATGACAAGTATAATAACATAATATATTAATAATTATAACAATATATTTGTTTAGTGAAAATATGATACAAAATCCTGTTTTCACACTTTACTGCAGTAATTTTTACAAGTTATTATTTGTACTGCATATATTGATACTGCATGATTGACAACCGCGCTGTCACTCGTACAAACGAAGACTATTGCGCAAAACGCTCTGTATGCGATTTTAACGCCCTACAGGTGCGGACACTTTTTAGCGCGAACCCGACGTCCATTTATTGATATTGTCAGAATATAGTTGTCGTTTTTGGCACACAGATTTGTTTTACTTGCAAGAGAAAAATTTACAAATGGTTCATTATTTTTAGGAATGAAACTATTTTTCCGGATTTAAATCGCGTATATTTGTTTTTTCAAACAAACCGACGTTTCGGGCCCTTTACAGGTCCCATGGTCACGGTTGACTGAGGTGGTACAGTCTTCAACCAGTTATGTCTAATATTGATGCAAACCACCCTATTTTTTCAATATAGTTACAATAGTTATTAATTAAATACCTTATTTTTAATTTTACAAAGAAAACATTCCAATTTACGCTACATTAAGTTTTACAAATTATTTTATTGAATGAATTTTTTATTAACTTTAATTTATTATTAATTATTAATAGAAATTAGAATAAATTAAAACATATTAATTAGTACTGCAGTCTTATGTCTGTTTGGGATTTTTCATTAGAGGAAATACTGGATCCCAAACAGGTGGTACGGAGAAACCATCTTCCCGGTTGAAATTAGGATGTTTTTTAATTTCAATGGCCTCTCGCAGCATCCTGGGCAGATAACGGACTTCTTTTGCAAGGACCTGGGGTTTGTCAAACTTCATTGAATGTGTAGGTTTATCCATGACATGCTCGCAGACTGCAGACTTGTTTACGCGACGGTGTTTGACATCAGCTATATGTTCTTTGACGCGGGTACAAATACTTCGCTTTGTTTGTCCAATATAAGAGAGACCGCACTCACAGTCAAGCTTGTAAACTCCTGCATCCTGTAAGGGGATGTTACATTTCACGGGTCTCAGGAACTGAGAAATCTTCCTCAGGGGCTTGAAATAGGTCTTGATAGATGCGCGCCTGAGGACTCTTCCGATCTTGTCTGTAACACCTCTCACGTAAGGTAAGATGGCAGGTCTTCGCTCGACTGTTGGTGGTTTCACACGGGGTCTGCGGCATTGGCGTGGAATCCTCAACTTATTCGCATGTAGGACTTGCTTTATATGCTGAAGTTCCCCCGCCAGATGATTACTGTCGCAGACACCATATGCTCTCTGAAACAAAGATTTGCCCATTTTCATTTTTTATTAGGTTTATATTAGGTTTATATTAGGGTTATATTATATTAGGTTTTTATTAGGTTCATTATTTAGTTTAGCTAAAAATTTAAGTTAAGATATTATGACGCGGGTCTGGATTTTAGGAGGTGACGTGTTAGGGGTCGCCCTTTGCGTCCCAAAATTAATATGAATAAAATAAGAACAAGCGGAGAAAATTTTACACAGATCCAACTTTTATTAAGCGCTCGATGGCCGTTGACGGGACAGCGGGCGGCGCGGCGTGTCGTTAAACTGCTGGGCAACTTTCAAGATTTGGGATAAATATTAATTTAATAACTACAGGGCTTCAGTTGAAAAGCAAAAATTAGCCGGTTCTCTGTAGTACTCAAAGAGATATATCTTCACATAAAAATTATGTGCAAGGTTAGATATTTCGTTTTTACGTTTCACGTTTTAGCCTGATTTCGGGATTTTATATAATCAGATAAAGTATATCCTATCGTGTAACAAATTAGCACATTCTTTAAACGATACCCATAAGTGTATCGTATGTTTTTTGTATGACCTTTGTTTTATAGTAACACCTAAACAATTTGATCTAGCAAAATAGATTTTCCGGCTTCTCCTCGAATGACTTGCTCTAAACCCCTGAGTGTCAATACAACTGAATCTACAAATGAAAACCACTTGCAAATAATGAAGAATTTATAAGGCACCTACCTGTAAAGGCATTTATAAATCCACAATAGTCCCAGCTCTAAATTGTTTGGTCGTGGTTTGGAGAGATCCGGTGGCTATTGCGGATGACAATACGTATTATAATCATCATATGTCAGTTGATATCATCGAGATCTTAACTGCACACCGAGGGTGCAAGGTTTTGATGTCGAATATAGATAACTAAAACACGCAAAGTTACCCTACGTCACGGAGGCATGATGCTATTAATTTGCTTATAATATTTTTTTACTCAGGTCACAATGAGTTGTTGCAAAGCACCACCGCCACGACCGTCAAAAGATGAATCAATTAAGGAATGTTTTGAAAAATTTGGGAAGACACGTAAACCAACTGCAGAAACAGCTGTAAGTGAAATTTCTTTTGAAATTGGCTCTAAAAGATTAATTATCTACATCATATCTTCGACAAAGTGTACGTGCTTATTATGAATACTATAATTGTTTGAATTACGCGTACAAGTGAATTTATATATCGAGTTCTTAGATTCATATGATTGTTACACATTGGGTATGTACTAGGGGTGTATGAAAGGAGCCATATACCATTCCTTTTATGTACGTCTAGCGCAGCCTGGGCAACATTCGGCGAGTACCTTACGCCGATCGACAAATCCTGTCACCACGATGGCAAGCATTATAGTGTAAGCCATCGATACGACAAGGAAAAGATTGGATATGAACTATTTTTCGGATCTAAATTGCATATTTGTTTTTTCATAACAACGACTCGGAATCTTTATAGTTCCCATAGTTCCATGACTATAATGACTGAGATGATATTAGTGATCAACAAAATGGGTAAGGTACCACAACGGTAATTCTCATCACCATCCTTTTCAAGCCCCTGAAGACTACTATTTTTATTTCGTATAACTTTTGGCAAGGCCTTTATTTTTGGAAGAACCTCTTCGACGGACTGCTGTTCTGGAGATCATACCTGTAGTAAAAACAACAATCATGGATAAACAACAAACTAAAGCATTGTATTATTAAAACATATAAAATCACACAAAATGTTAATAAAGGATTCTTACATTGAAAGAAGAAGGGATTTAAGGTTAATAGGACGGGGAACATTAGAAGGAAAGAGGTCATACATAGGGCGCACTATAAGTTTTCGGAAATGACCACTTACATAAACAATATTTAAAAAGTAATGACAACATTTGAAAATGGAACTCTTTGGCTGTAGAATACAGTTTGTTTCACCTGACTGTCACTTATTTTTACATTCTAACGTCATTTTAGAAATTGGTTGTCTACATTACCATGGATTTAACTCGTGAAAATTTTCGTAGTATGATTTTCTACGACTTTAAGTGTAATTTAGCAGCTCAGCGGAGTGTCGCTCTGCTTCAAACTGCTTTTGGCGATGAGGCACCATGCAAGACGAAACATGGATTTATAGTTACGATCCCAAAACAAAGCAGCAATCGAGCGTATGAGTCTTTCGAAATGGTGCAAAGTGCCTCTAAGCAGGTGATTGCTTCTTTTTTTAATAAAACTGGACACGTGGCTACTGTTGCTTTGGAGAATATTTATACCGTGAATAGGGATTGGTACACGACAATTTGTTTGCCGGAAGTTATTAACAAACTCCGTAAAAATAACCGTAAACGCCGTATCATCTTGCACCACTACAATGCCAGTTTTCACACGGCCAGACAGATAATTAAATTTTTGAAGGTGAACAACGTTGACCTTATGAGCCATCCCGCGTACAGTCCCGACCTGGCACCTTGTGACTTTTATTTATTTCCAAAAATTAAGAAGAACGATTCAACGTTGTCAACGATTTTCATCACCTGAAGAGACTGTGGAATAGCATGAAAAATATGTTTCAGAGATTGTCACGAAGGAGTGGCATAAATGTTTTCGAAATTGGTTCATTCGTATGAAAAAGTGCATTAACGCTAACGGAGAATATTTTGGAAACAATATATATATATATATATATACAACAATACATTAATTTCTGACCATTTATAGTATATTTTCTTATTAATTTCGGAAACTTATAGTGCACCCCACGCACAAGGAGGAAGTCAACTTAGGATATTTAAAAAAAATATCATCAAGGGGTTCCCTCATCCAAACCACGTTCACACATAGTGAAGAAGATTTCTCAATTCCTATCACCCGTGGCATGTACGTAACATTAAAGGTCATCAATGTCATGGTGTTTGAAAAAATATAATATAATGCGATGTAGATCCGAAACAATATTTTTTTTTTCAAATAATGCTTTTTTCTTCAGTGCGAACTCGAATTATGTATAGGCAAGAAACAAGGCTATATTGCTGATGATGGGACAATTAACAAGAAGGCTTTAGAAGCAGACGTTGCTGAGAAATTCAAACAAAGTCCTGACCTAGTTGAGAACATCACAAAGCATTGCATCAACGCTGATGTAGACGAATATGGTTCTGAAGACTTCTGCGAACTGATGAAAACTTCTCATTGTATACATGTGCAAATTGCTATGGTAAATATTACGATTGAAATAGTACCTACTTTGCACTCTTATTGTAATAAGGCCACATCTGCAAAATGGCAATTTTTGAAGAGATATACTTAAAGATTCTATTAAAGAAATTAGTTGATAACTTTTTAGTCTAGAGTCGATTACCTCAGATCGAGTTCAAACGTTTTCGTACTGATACGCTTCATTTTACTTGAGTCGACTGTCAGGGGCACTGGCTTTATTTCAGAATTTATTTTTTACTTTTTTTTTAAATTAAATCCATTTGAAAAATATACATCGTATACTAAGCGTGTTCTATTTGGTTCAGTTGATATCATTGGTGTATGTAAAGTACCTATTGAATACAACGGTTTTCTTGTAAAATTTAGAGGTAACTTTGTGTTTTTTTTCTTTTCTCTTGTAAAAACTTTTAGGAGCCCTGTTTTCACACCGTATGGTAATCACTAATCAACTAATCAGTGATTATCCTCAATTTAACTACATAATTTTTTCAAAGTGATTAATTGAAAATGTCGAACTTTCTCTGTTATGTGGAATCAATCAAAGCTTTGAGGTTGTATCGACCCTTATATAGAAGAGTTATAACATGTCTCATACACATAATTAGTTTCATGTAGTTTGTATTATTTTATGACTTTCATCATTGACTTACAATTATATGGACGTCGGGTCCGCGCTAAAAAGTGTCCG